CCTGTTATTTAAGGGATAAATTAAAATGAATTACAGGTTGCATTATTGCATTTTATAAACACTGAAGCAAACATTTATAAGTCTATAAAATATCTAATAGTTGAAATTTACTTTACTGAACTAAGTATATGGAATTTTGGGCATCGTCGCGCCTTGGAATCCAGTCCAGAGCTTTTCTGACCAGTGGATGATTAAGAATATTTTAAAGACGGCATATCTAGACTGACAATTTAGCAGTGAAAAAGTTACCTGAGTGCGATGTGAAAATAGTGCAGGTATCCTTAGGTAGTTTAAATGGCTAAAATTTGGGCATATTTTCCAAAGAACTGCTGCTGATTTCACAGTCAACTATTTTTCTATTGTTTCGAACGGTGATTTGTTCAAATGTTTCATATCTGCCACTCAAAAATGCCTATTCTCGAAGTTCAAATTGCTTAATTATGCTGAGCACTATTTTAACAACTGATCATGTTTAACGAATATGTCACTTTGTTGATTCTGGGTCCATAATTATACAGATAGGCATTTTTATGATTCATGGTTCAAGGCATCAAATACAACAGATGGTAGAATAGTTCACTGCCGACGCGTTCCGCAATATATACCGTAGCATCATCATGGCTAGGCTAAGTAAAATGACCGCTTGAAGGCACTTAGGTTCAACAAGCAAACAGTATTTTATAATAAAAACGCCATTAAACTGATCGGCTAGAATGTTAACCAACAAACAGTGTGAAGTTCTCATTAAAACAATCGGTTCATTGTTGCATAAACACAATGCATCGAATCAATTCTGCAGTTGTCTCCTAGCTTTCACCAACAACTACAGAAGATATGTATTAATTGCACATCCGGTTTTTCATTGCCAGTATATGCAAGGACTCCATACTCAGAAAACCTATTTAAATTGGTCTTTGTCTATGACAGACACATTGGTCTGACTGAAAGAATGCTCTTCAGTAATCATATGCTGGCAATACGAGAACTGTCAGCCTGTCCAAAGCGGACCACAGAAATTTGCTCTTTTCCCGGGTGTTCAATTTTCGAATGGTCCCTTCAATGTAAAGTTTGTCGCAGTCTCTGAACTGCACTTCACGTATACTAGATTTAACACTTTTTCTGGGTTATTAATGGGCTATGCTTTAAAAAAAATTGCCCAATGTCCCACCAGTTTTGTAGTAGACCCCTAACCTCATGTCAT